ATGTTTCATACCTAAGCTTATCTACTGTTTCTGTTTCTTTCAAGGGAATCTAGACAGGTTTGTTTTAACATAAGATCATAGGTTCTACTTTTTTTTTTCTATCCCGGTGACTGACTGACTACTCAGACACATGCAAACAAAATGCTGTACTTGAGACCAAGCTGAACACACATTGTCCGATTATCACTATAGTTTTAAACTCTTTAAGAATACTTATGACCTCCGTTCAATTAAGCTTTGCTCCTGATTTGTATCCTAAACAGAAAATAAACAGTCTTTAAAACTTCAATGCTAAAAGTATAAATAATATCACCCCCACCCCCAAAAAAGGTGAGTCACATAAGAACTAAAAACAGTTGGATTTGTCAGACAGAAAACATAACTTCGGGATTTAAGGATATTAAATTCCCCATATGTCCCTAGTTCCTAATTGCTAACAACTCCCATTATTCTGTTTTAAAAATCAAGAATAATGTCATCTGTGAAATATATAGGTCAGTAAGTTCTGTCTGGTTGGGGAAAAAATTAAAATGCTGTTAGTGGTTGAAAGCTATCAAGTGCTGAGCACTGGCTTTGCAGAAGCCTGCAAGAGGCCCCAAGGCCAGAGCATGAGGCTGGAGGTGGGAGCGGCCTGGTCCGGCAGCGGGACCCCAGGCCTGCCCTCTGCAACCGCCCACTGCCCGACACCACTGCCCAGGCTGAGCGGCTCGCTTGGGCCTAGCCTAGGCCTGAGGCCTGGGCAAGGCATGCGGCCTCCTCCGGGGTAGGCCCTGGGGTCGCGCTGCCCTCCTCGAGGCGGGTTTGGCTCCAGGCCTCTCGGCCCCAGCCGCGCTCGAGGGCCGGCGCGGGGCTGGAGAGGCTGGAGGCCGGCAAGATGGCCAGGGGCGGGAAGAGGGCGAAGGAAGCCAAGGGTGGCGCGCCCTCGCCTCACCCCGGCCTCCCTCTCTGAGGGAGATCACGCCTTTGACAAGGGAGGGGACTGACAAGTTTGCGGGGAGGGCTCGCCGGCCCTCTAGCCCCTCCCTGGAGAGACAACTTGAAGCGGCCTGGGCTGTGCAGATGGAGGCCCGCGCCCGGGGCCTCCCGGGCCCACGCGCGTCCGTCCTCCGGCCCCGCTCGCAGCCACTGTCCGCTCGCCCCGGGACCGACGCCCAACCTTCTCCCGCCGAGGAGAAGCGCCCCGAGCCGTCAGGGGGGAGAGCAGACAGCACCCGGCCTCCGACAGGAGCGCGTGGCTGCGGATCAGCCTCACGCTGACTCAGTCCACACAGCAGATGGCGGAGCTGCGAGGGAAACGACCTCCGCGGCGTTTCTGTAAGCTGCCTAAGAGCAGCTGCGGCGCGGGCTTTCGGCACGAGGCGCTTCGTTCCCCCTCCCGAGAGCTCTGCTCGGAGCCGAAGGGCCCTCGCTTTCGGGCCTGACACCACTCCTGGGCCCGCCGGCCCGCCCGGGGACCAGGCCCGGGGGTCAGGCCCGGGGACCAGGCCCCGGGGAGGCGGCGGGGCCTGGGGGGCGGGGTGGGCCGCTGGGCGAGGCGCGCTCCCGCGAAGGGGCCCGGGGTAGCTCGGGCGGCCCGCGGCCACGCGCGCCCTGGGGCCGCGGCCTCCC